GGAGGGGCGCGGGAGTGGGGCGCGGGGCTCAGCTGGCAGTTGCCATGGTTTTGTCCTGGGTTCTGGAGCCAACCTGCCCACTGCCTGAGACACTGAGGTCACAGAAGCGGTAGGTCGGGGCCCGAGGGGCCGTGAGGAGGGCCCTACGGAGCCCCTGGCACACCTGTGAGATGGAGGCCTCGGGCGGGCACGGGGGTGAAGAGAGCCAGCCGCCGGAGGAGGTGAAGGGGGGCTGCGCCCTGAGGGAGGCGGGAAGGGCCCCGGAGGGGCTGCTGTTGGGAGGCGGAGAATATAAAATTCAAGGAAGAGGGGAAATTAATGAGGTGCGTGAGTTAGCAAGAAACCAAAAGACCAAGAGAAGGTTAATTCATTCAAGGAGATGTTTATCAAGGACATACGTACACCACTGGCAAGATAATGGGAGGATTCCTGGTGAGATGGCTCTTGGTTATGAAGACCCAGGGCTCCCGCGTGTGCGTGTGTGTGCGCGCTGTGAGCCCTATGTTTATAAAGTTCATCAGCCAGAGTCCCCTGTCTCTGGGGCTGGAGGAACCGGTGTCCTGTACCCTCTCCGTCTACTTCCCTTCCTTTCCCTGATCTCTCCCTTCAGAAGGGTCTGGCCTGGGGCTTCCCTGTTCCCCTGAACACAAGCAGGAATTAATGGCCATGATTCTGAGAGGCTTTTAAAAGGTCAGGTGCAAATCCAGCCATGTCAATCTAATTCTGTGCTCTGGCTTCAAGCCACTTTGTCTTATTAATTAGATCTTTTGCCCCACTTGTGCTGTCTGAAAATTCCTTCTCATCATTCCCATGACCAGCACACATTTTCTCAGTGCCCGCTAGCATGGCATGACCTGAGGGTTAGGCATAGAAAGAGGGGGCCTGGGACTTAGGCACTGGGCAAATGCTTGCTGAAGGAGTGAATCCCTCCTCATTCCCCCAAGGAGTGAGCTTAATTCCTTGGCGCCTTAGTGCTCTTATCTGTGACCAGGGATTATCATTATCTAAGCTCACAGAATTTTGGGTGAATAAAATGAGTTAATGTTTATCTAGTGCTTTGAAAAGTTAGCTAGTGTACTATGCTATAATTATTATTTTTTAAAATGAGTTGGGAATTGTAGGTTTTCTCAGCAGGGATTCTCAGAAATGGGTTTTTTTGCCCAGGACTCACTCGTCTCAGTGCTGGGTCAAGGAAAGGTCTCAGGGAAAATGGAGAAGGGCTTTGGCGGCATTTGGATCAGTGCTTGTCCAGCACTGCCCCTCAGGAGCAGTAGCCCAAGCCCCCCAGCTGACCACTGCCCCCTGCGTCCTCCCAGGTGATGGATGCACCCTGCTTGGAGAAGAGCTCCAGCACCATCGCTGCTGGAGACTCACTTGTGAACCAGGCGAAGGGCCTGGACCAGTGTACCTTCAGAATTGTGAGTAAGGGGCCATCCCAGGACCCTGTCCTCTGTTCCTCACAGGTCAGGAAACCTGCATAAGAAACCGGTAGGCTTCGGACCCATAGCTCATTGCCCCATTTGTCACACTCTTGGGACAGAAGTGGGATAAGACATTGACTGGAGCCTCCTCACTTAACATCTGTAACCCTTCCTGGGTCCTGAGGGCTGCAGTTGGACCAACCTGCTGGGTACTTAGGGCTACCCATCTGCCTCTTCTTTTCTCCTATGGCCCCTCGCTTCACCTGTTGCCTCCTTAGTGTAAAGAATGTCTGAGGCCATTAAAGAAGTGTCTGCGAAAGTTGTACCTGCCCCAGGACCTTCCCCAGAAGAAGAAGCTGAAGTACATGAAGCAGAGCCTGGTGGTCCTAGGCGATCACATCAACACCTTCCTGAAGCATTACTGCCGAGCCTGGGAAATGAAGCACTGGAAGAAGTAGGGCTGCCTCCTTGCCCTTCCCACTGTACCCACTCCTGGGTAACCCCCTCTAGATTCAAGGTCACACCTCAGTCAAGACCCCCTAGTCCTTCATCTTGATGTGAAAGAGTCGGGATCCTGGAGCGAGCATGGAGACAATGGGGTGGGAAGGACAGGGTTCTCTAGTCCATCAGGGCAGCATTGATCTACCACAGCTGCGCGCACAGTGAACCAAAAACTCTCCTGACCCTGAGGACAATGATCTCTGAACAGCTTCTATACGGTGTGGGTGCTCATCACTAGGACAGGGTATTCAAAGTCTGAAAAATCCCCATATCTCCATGCCCCCAACCAAAAACCAAGGAGGCAGCATGTGGCCTATTTTTCTTTGGGTGGGTCCTGGCCACAAGACAGATGCTGGAGGGACAGGGGCTGTGCTCTGCCTCCCTCAGCCTCAGGTTTCTCCCCTGTAGGATGCTCTGGCGATTCGTCTCCCTCTTCTCGGAGTTGGAGGCAAAGCAGCTTCTCAGGCTCTACAAGTACACCAAGAACAACCAGAACACCAAGTTTCTGGTGAGACTTTCTAGAAAGCTCCTCCTGGGCCCAGCTGAGGGTTGGTTGGTGTGTCCTTGGACTGTGGATTGGCGGCCTGGGACTGAGGGGCCTTCTGATAAAACCAGCACCCCTCCAGTCCTTTCCACAGCCCACTGCCTGAGGAAAACCCCACCACCCCTAACTTTACTTCTGCGGTGAGCACAGAGCGGGGCTGAAGAAGACAGAGACTCAGCTTCCAGTTCTTGATGCTTATTCACCCTCCGCACCCACATACTAGCATTAGCAGGAGCAAGACACATGCGTTCAGTGCCATGGGTGGGGATGGTTGAGTCCTGGCAGAAAGGCACAGCCAGCTTGGGAAAGGCTCCAGGGTCTATTCACAGAGCCTGACCCGGCTTTGTCAAAGTGGTTCTCAAACATTTTGGTCTCAGGTCACTTATACCCTCTTAAAAATCATTGAGAACCTCCCAAAAGCATTTGTTTACATAGGTTACATCTATTGATATTTTCCCTATTAGAAATTAAAGAAAAAATTCAAACTATGTATTTACTAATCCATTTAAAAATAAAAACAAGTAGCCCATTACATAAATAACATAAATAATTTTTATGAGAAATAACTATTTTTCAAAACAAGATCGTTTAGTGAGAAGAGTGGCATTGTTTTACATTTTTACAAACCTCTTTTCTATCTGGCTTAATATAAGATGGCTGGATTCTCCTGTCTGCTTCTGTAGTCCATCTCTTATGACATATTGATTTTGTTGAAGTATACGAAGAAAACCCAACTTCATAAAGATATATAGTTGGAAAAGAGAGTAGTAGTTTATTAGCATTTTCAGATAATTGTGGATATTTTTCTCTGATGCCACACCAAAACTCAATTTTACTTAATTGCAGTGTGGAACCTGAAACCATATTAATGAACATTTTTAAATATACTTAAAAAAAAAAGTATTGATTTCAGAGAGGAAAGGAGAGGGAGAGAGAAATAGAAACACCAGTGATGAGAGAGTCATTGATCGGCTGCCTCCTGCATGCCCCCTACTGGGGATGGAGCCCACAACCCGGGCTTGTGTCCTGACTGGAAATTGAACAGCGATTGCTTGGATCATAGAGGTCAATGCTCAGCCTCTGAGCCACGCCAGCTGGGCTAAATAGACTTTTTTTTTTTTTTTTTTAGCAGTTTTAGGTTTACACAAAACTTGAGTGAAAAATACAGAGTTCCCATATACCACTCCCTCCTATCCCTACTTATTATTAGCATGTTGCATTAAAGTAGAACATTTGTTGTTATTGATGAGCCAATATTGATATAATTAACTTATAATGTCCATAGTTTGCATTAGGGTGTCCTCTCTGTGCTGTATGTTCTATAGGTTTTAGCAAATGTATAAGGACATGTATCCACCGTTACAGTATCATGCAGAACAGTTTTGCTGCCCTATTTCCCCCACCCTGGTGCTCCACCTGTTCTCCCTCCTTCATTCCCTCCAAACCCCTGGCAGCTACTGATCTTCTTACTGTGCCCATAATGTTGCCTTTTCCAGAGTACCATATAGCTGGAATCATACAGTATGTAGCCTTTTCAGATTTGTAGCAATGAACTTTCAACATTAGGTCACATGAAAATCCACTGATTCCTCTCTCACACTTTTGAGTGGACCTCACTTTGCAGGGGGTCTGTGAGATCAAAATATTTTAGTGACCCCCAGGGAGCACACGTTGAGAACCTTGTCCAAAATAATAATCATAGGTAATAGTTTCTATGTGCCAGATACCTTATATTCCCTCCCGTAATCTTCAAAAGTAACCCTAAGTGGTAATGAGAATTCTTGTTCGGTGCATAAATGAAGATACCAAAGGTAGGGAGGTTGAGTAACATGGCCCAGACCACACAGCAGGTGGGACTGAAGAACTGGATTCAAACAGCCTGGTACAGAGAGAAGCCCTGCTCTAACCATGCCCGAGCCCCCCCGCCCCCACTCTCTAGCCGCACAGCTTTAACCAAAGCCTCTCCCTCCCCGAGTCTCCGTTTCTTCCTCTGAACAGGGATGGTTGGACGGGTCAGTGATTCCTCCTGTGAATACCAGGAGCTGCCATTTAGTGATGGCTGGATTTCACCAGCCAGGAAAATTTCCAAAGATATTTCCAGGCTCTGAATTTTAATTTTGCAAAGGACTTTTAAAAAATTGCTTCACTACAAAACATATAAGACACTGTAACTCAAAAAAGAAATGGAGGACCTACCTCAAAGTAAAGAGCCACCCACCAACAGACGGTGGCAGCCCGGCCTCCATGTCTCCATGATCCTTTCTCTCCCACATCAGTGCCTCTCCATCCTTCTGGCTGGGCAGGTGTTTGGTGCAGCCAGACCGCAGCAGTTTCCCAACAAGGGCATGGCTGGCTCTCTCTTCCACACTCCTCTTCACACTGTGGCCCCATTGCAGGCGGCGTTCTGCCCCTTGGATGCTCCGGAGAGCTCCTTGCTGGCTGACCAGGAAGACAGTCTGCCCAAGCTCTGCAGCGCCTGGGGGCTGCACAGCGACATCAGCGGCATGAAGGAGAGGCTGTCCAAGATGCAGGCCCCCAGCAGCGAGGCCTCCCTGCTGGCGGAGCCAGGATCCGGGGCCCATGTCAGGAGAGGTAATGCCCCTAGATGTGTGGGGAGTGCCTGGGGAAGGGCGCTTGTGAGCAGAGCCTGTGTGGTCCACCCTGGAGCAGCCTGATACGCGCCCCTTCCCTTCTTCCCATCTTCTCTTCACCTCTGCATTTATTTTTCTGCCCATTTTCCTTCTTTCTCCACTTTGTTTTTTCTCTTTTTTCTCCCCATCCTGGGAGGAATGCTCATTATAGAAAGTTTGAGATGCACAGATAAATATAAATCAAAAGAGGGAAAATCACGCATCATCCAGAGGCCATGACTAGTAATGTTTTGGTGTTTCCTTCAGTGTTCTGTGTGATTTCCCCCGGAGGTCTCATGATACATAGTTTTGAATTCTGCACTTTTCAGTGAACAGTTAAGTGAAGACACTTTCCCATCTGACCAGAAGCAGAACAGAGACTGTTTCTAGTGGCCACGAGTGGGGAGTCCCAGGAAGTGTCCTAGGAGCCGCAGGACACCCACTGTAGGTGTTGGTTGGGGTATGGGCTAAGGGAGGGTGTTCATTCCCATAAGGAGAAATCCAGCCAGGTGGCCTGGGGACAGCCTTCCCAGCAGCTTTGGCCTTGTGATGACTGCACTGCCTGACCCTCTGAACGGAAGCTGTGGGGACAGGGGACAGAGCCTCTTCAGTGGGAGGGGCCTCAGCCAAGGTTGGAACCTATGAAGACCCACCCCGTCTGTGCACTAAGGTGCAGAGCGATGTTGGAGCCACCCACCCCTCACCCTTCTGGAACTGGCTTCCGGGGCCAGTTAGCTGTTCTTATTTAGCTACTGGGGGAGAAAGTGAAGGCAAACAGGTTTGCCCAGGACCTAAGAGCATGGTCCTAAGTTGGACCCAGGTGTTTCCTCTGAAGGCCGGGCTGGCTGGGGCTAATGCAGACCAGCAACCCTTGGGGGTGGGGGAGGCCTCGTCCACTAGGCACAGCTGAACTGAGTGGGAGAGCAGGGGTGAGAACAGGTCAGGTGCAGTGGACACGGGTTAGGCAGCTACTGAGACCCAGAATCCTGCCCGGGCTCTGCGTGGGCCCCTGGCGCCAGTGCCTACAGTTTAGTTGGGGAAGTTGAACCTACAATGGAATGAAGCCCAGTCATTAAGATGATCTAAGCCCAGCAGTCCATGAATCAGATGAGGAAAGTGAGCTCCCGGCTTTGGGCAGCCCTTCCCTGTACCAGGTGCTTTGTATCTCATAATTTCATTTCAGCACAGCAGCATCCCCGAGAGTTGGGTGTCATCCTCATTTTACCAAGGAGCAATCTAAGGCCTTAGGGCAAAGGGCAGGGCAGGCTGTCCAGAGGAGGCCAAACCAGGACAGGCTTTAAAGGAAAGGATAAGGGGAGGAGAGGGGGAAGAGAGGAGAGGAGGTAGGAGGAGAGGCATGTGCAGACTTGAGGGGCAATGAGTGGACACTGGGTTTAGAGGCAGGTTGGAGAAGTGCAGGTAGGGGGGTAACCGAAACGCCTTGGATGGTAGGTTGAGAAGTTTGGCTTTCACGCAATTCTTAAAATAACGTTTTATTACTACAAACATAAGCATATCACAGAAAATTAGATAATACAGATAAGCAGAAATAAGAAAATATAAGCATCACATTGTCCTACCACTGCTAGCACTTTTCAAATGTTTTTTATGCATATAAAGCATGTATTTTAACCAAAATGAGACCACAATGTATGTGTACACATATATGTGTGTGTGTGTGTGTGTGTATATATATATATAATATATATATATATATTTTTTTTTTTGAGAGAGATTTCTTGTTTCACTTCTTTATGCATTCATTGGTTGATTCTTATGTGTGCCCTCACCTGGGCCCTCAACCTTGGCGTATCAGAAGGACACTAACTAACTGAGATACCTGGCCAGGGCTACAATGTATATATTTTTTATTTGAACTTGCATTCTTCAGTTAATTATATTAACCTTCCATGTCAATATTTTTATTTCATCTAATTGTTGGATTAAATAATACTCCATATTCAAAATTTCCCAGAAGTCAAAGATATGTTTTGCACTGTTTTCCCAAACCATGCATCTCACCAGGCTATGTGTCTTAAGCCTCCTTTACCCTAACAAAGACCCCTTTCTTACTCCCTGACCCGTAGAAGAGATCGGGCTGTTGTTCAGCAGAACGTTCCACTTTCTGCTTTTTTCTTGTTTCTTCCTTTTGGCACCTTTTAAGCTTGCTCCTCTATCAAAAGTCTGGATGAATTCATGTTAAACTGTTTTTTTTTTTTGGACTGGGAGACATTAGAGATAATGTTATGTTCTTCACGTATGTGTTACATAAGAAAACTCATAATGTTCTATCTGGTGGACCCACCATGATGAGCTGAGTTCTATTGTGCAATTGAAAGTGTGTGGTGTTTGTTTGGCACTATGTTTCTAAGTCAGTTCTCAAGTAACACAATGGCAATGGTGTTTGCAAACAGTCCAGCAGCAAAGTACTGGGAACTGGCGTATGAAACCTACAGAGAGGAGTGGGGAGGAATCAGAGTCTGAAGCCAGATGTCGAGAAATGTGGGTCTGGTCTGCACTGGGCCCTTAACGTGCCTCAGGCTCTGGGCAGGCCATTTCCTTACCGCTAGCTAGGTGAGATCCCAACATCTGTAAACTGAGGTGATTCCATCCCCCAACCCCACAGATTTCTGTAAGGGATATAGGTTGGAAGTAAGATTTTGTCCTTCCTTTAGATCCCTACAAATGTTAGAGACTGAGATTCTCTTGGTATTTGTGATGTCTTCAGGGCTGTCTTTGACCTTCCCTTTTTCAGGTTCTTTAAGGAAACTTTCTCCAACACCAAAACTCAAGAGAAAGAGGGTTAAGGAAGCCCCAGAAACCCCAGAGACCTGCCCATAAGAAGACCTGGCTGGGGCAGAGGACAACTTACCCTGGGCCCCAGAGCACACGTGTCTTTAACACCTCTGTGCACCTGGGGAGATGGGGACCCATGAGGGGAAAGAATAAAATTGTCTTTATCAAAGGACACTTGGGTCTTAATTATACATAAATGGGATGAGACTGCTAATGCATGGGCTTGGGAGCCGCCTTGCTTGGTAGATCCCTGACATTGAGACAAGGACAAGCAGGCTGTAGGTGTGTCTTTGTTCATTGGGAGCTCTCCAATTTTCTCTACTCTGAGATTTTATTTACAAGGTCCCAGGGAGGTGTCTCCTGTGTGTGAGGCAGCACTGCCACCTAGAGGAATTATGAAACTGCTTTCTCTTCCAACCAAGGCAGGTGTGTGCAGAGTTGGAAGTGAAGGAGCTTCATATTGGCCTTGGGACAGTCAAGATGACTGAAGGCAAAATGGGCAACAGGTGAGGCATGGTTTGAGTGCCCTTAACTCTTTCCTCAAATTCAGTAGGATCTCAGAATTCTGAAAGGGCAGATCACTTGACATTGCTCTGCTCAAAATCCTCCAACAGCACAGGATACTAGTAGCATACTCTGTATGATACTAAAATGGTGGATACATGTTTTTGTTGTTGTTGTTTTAAACATCTTTATTGATTTCAGAGAGAGGAAGGAAGAGGGGGAGAGATAGAAACATCAATGATGAGGGAGAGTCATTGATCAGCTGCCTCCTGCACTCCCCCTGCTGGGGATCGAGCCTGCAACCCAGGCATGTACCCTGACCGGGAATCGAACCACGATCTCCTGGATCCTAGGTCAACGCTCGACCGCTGAGCCATGGTGGACAGGCTAAAACGGTGAATACATGTTGTTATACATTTGTTCAAACACAATGTGCAACAAAGAGTGAACCCTAAAGTAAACTGTGAACACTGGGTGATAATGATGTGTCAACGTAGGTTCATCAATGTAAAAAATGTACCTTTCTGGTGGGGTTGTGGATGGTGGAGGCTAAACGTGTGAGGTGGCAGTGTACAGGAAATTTCTGTACTTTCTGCTCAATTTTGCTGTGAACCTAAATAAAGCATTGAAAGAAACAACTCCCTCCAACAGCTCTTCACTTCATGCGGATTAAAAGCCAAAGGCCCTCTATGATCTATCCCACAGTCCATGGTGTTACTTCTCTGCCCTAACCTTACATTCTCATACTTGTCAAGCATACTCCTGCCTCAAAGCCTTTTCACTGTTTCCTCTGTCTGGAATGTTCTTTCTCAAGATATTCACTTGGCTGACTCCTTAATTGCTCTCTGTTCAAATGTCACCTCTTCAGTGTAGCCTGTCCTCCTGTTTTAAATTCCATGCCCCAGACATTCTAAATATCCCTTACTCTATTTTTGCTTTCCTAAAGCATTTACACCCCCCCAAAAAAATTAGATACTGTAGTTTATTATATTTATTGCTTATTGATGGCCTTCTTCCCCTAAAATATAAGTTCCATAGGGCAGAGCTTTTTATCTGTTTTGTTCATTGCTGTATCCTAAGCAATTACAACCGTACGCAGCATGTAGGAGGTAATTAACAAATATTTGTAGAACGAATAATTGAATGAGTGAATGAAAGAACTCAAGTAGAGAATTTAATCTAACCACCTGGTTCAGAGGGGAAAAAAGAAGCCCAAAAAGAAAGATGACTTCTTCAAGGTTGTACGGGAAGTCACCACCAAAAGTGGCACTAGACTCAGACCTGATGACTCCAGGCCAGCACACTTCCCACACACTAATGACACAGACACGTGGCCAAAACATTTTCCACAAAAGGTAAATAACCCCCAAAACTTAATGTACTGCTTCTCCTGGGATCATTTGTATTTTCTTAGTTAAGAGATCTCTACTCAAAGTATGACTCACTAAGGCGGACTTGGGGAGACCAGAAACAGGTGGTTGGAGGAGGCTATTTGGAGGTGGGGAGCCTTGGTGGAAACCCCAAATCACACTTCAACCTATGCTGCCTCATGGGTAGGCTCACCCTAGGGAAAATGCCTCTCTGATGGCCAGACCAGGCATCCCTCAAGAAGGGCCCTTCTGGAGAATGGATACTTTCCCTAAAGCCTAAAATGGGAGAGACTCCTGACCGCAGATGTAACGACCGACCACTGCCTGACCGACAACTCCCAGCCTACAGGAGCCACCTGCAGTCTCCACTGCAAAGTAACGCTGCCACAGATGCATGTAACTCAGGAGAGATGGCAAAGGCTTGGCATCCTTTACATCAGATTTTCGAGGGAGACTCCTCCCCACTACAGAGAAGAAAACAGGTTTAGGGGCTGGCACAGCTGAATTGAGATCTTGACTTTCCAGGTCTCCTGACACCATATCCTGTGTTTTGACTTTATGATTTTTCCTTTGTACATGCAGGCTTTTTAAAAAAATCCTTACCAGAGGATATGTTTTATTAATTTGAGAGGGAGGGAGGGAGGAAGGCGGGGGGGTGGGGGGAGAGCGAGAGCGAGAGCTGGATCAGTTGTTCCCCATCCGTGCCATGACCGGGCATTGAACCCGCCACCTTTTGGTGCGTGGGGCCATGCTCCAACCAACTGTGCCACCCAGCCGGGCAGAAATTTGATTATTGACACCAACATAACAGAGGCAGAATGTGGGCTGGCCAGTAACAGGAAAGGAAAAAACTGCACTCAAACTACAGGGTGGAGCAAAAGTAGGTTTACAGTTGTTTGCGTGGAAAGTAATAATACAAAAATAAACTCTCATGTACTCACTACTGTAAACCTACTTTTGCACACCCCCCCCCCCC